CTCATACACACACACACACACACACACACACACACACACACAGCCACAAGAAAGCAAGAGCTGATATGACTTTTTCCTTCTCTTCCCTAAAATTTGCACTGTTTTCCCTTTCAATGGGCACTTTCAAAACCATGTCCTTTAGAACTCCAGCCCAGAGGGGTTGTAGTAGATGTTGATCTAAGAGGCAATTCCCAGGTGTAGTGAGTTTACAAAAATCTAGGTTAAAGAGAAGCAAAGATCATTCTCATGACAGCAATTCCCAGATCCTTTACTCCACTGATGTGTAATGTGAATGAATATTCAAGAGGAAAACTGAGTTTGATCTTTTCTAAACTTAGACTCTTTCATTTTGTGGAACATTTGACAAGGACACTTTTCCTCAGAAGACATCAGAGGAAATGCGCTTTACAAGAGCAATGCTCTCCATGCCTGTTTGCATGAACAGTTCTTGTGGAATTGAGGTCTGATCTGACCTCAGGTGGATACACAGCCTGAAGATGGGATGACTTCCCAAATTCACACAACCAACAGGGACGAAGGTCAGACCCAAGGCTTCCTAACTTACAACTTCTTGTCCAGTGTTCGCACCATCAAACACACTTCTGTCACATTTTTAAACATTTTCACCATCAGATTTAGAAATAACATGACAACCTAGCTCCCTAGGGCTCCCTTTCTTCATGCAGGAAATGTCGGTGAAAAATCCCAAAGAGATGTACACTAAAAACAGTGAATTTTATGGTACGTAATTTTTAAGGATTTGATAAAATGAAAGTCACAGATTTGAAAGAAAAGTAACTCTCCCCTGCCTGTCCCTGGACTGCCACAAGGGGCAGTCAGCAGAGATGAACAATGAAAAACTCTGTACAAAGATCACCGCTAAATACCTTGAAGGAAATGAAATATCCTATTAAAAATTCAACACAAATTAAGCAGCCAGAATATGTCAGAGACTGCCCATTCATTCCACAGTGACAGCAGTGACCTAAAGCGACTTACGCTCAGCACGGCTCATGTCCTTGGATCAATACTGTGTAAGAACAAAACGTCCAGAGTCAGGTGCAGCTTCCAACCCCTGCCCGCTTGTTATCCATGTGACCTCACCTCTCGGAGCCTTAATTTCCTCATCTACAAAATGGGGATAATCGTTCTCGCCTCATAGGGCTACCAGGAGAACCCCCGGGGTACGTATATAAAATGCTTAGCCCCAGCCTGTCACTGGTGAATACTCAACAGCGTTACACATTGTTTATTCTTTGCCATTTTCTGTAGAAGGAACTACAAGCAAT